ACATCATAGCAATTCAGGTGTCCAAGTGTTTACAAATGCGTCATACAAAATATGTAGAGTACCTCTGCGATATCCCGTGGGGTGGGACTTGGATTATTTTTAATCAGCGTTTCGATTTGGTCATTATGAATGACTGTAGGCATGCTGGATCACTTCCGATTTCATATATATATATATATATATATATATATATATATATATATAATTATTTTTATATAAAAAAAAAAATTGTAGTGATTTTATAACATATTTATGTTATAAATTTTTTTTATAAAAATAATTATATCTGCTCTACATTGTATTGCGCACTCTTTTAAGAATAGTAATTGTTGGTTATTGGAATTCATTCCGTATACACCAATTATATACTTGTATATATATATATATATATATATATATATATATATATATATATATATTAAATATGAACCAAGCGAAACACTTGTACTCTCACTTATGGCACCATCTCCATATATGACACATATCTTTTTTGCTGTTTGTACTGCGTGTATTTTTTTTCATTTAGGAAAAAAAAAATTTAAATTTAATTTTCACTTAACAAATAATTCAAAATTCTCAATCCAAACACGAATCATATGAAAAACACGTTGAAATGTTACCTTTCAGAATATGTGTGTAGGCTTTAGGTTTCAGTCACGTGTGAAACGAAATCACGTGTTCAAACGCCACGTATTGAAAAAACGCCATGATGTTTTGTTCCTACTCAATATTTACGAGGTTAATAATTTCGATATTAATTTCTTTTCCGTAGAACAATTTGTGCTGCCAGTGGATTTCTGTGAACTTTAATAACCCAGTGACCGGTAAATGGCAACTTTGCTATTTTCCTCGGCTTGAAAATGCCTGGAATTGTATGTCGCCTATTAAGGACGCAATTTATCAAATTTAAATTTACAAACTTTGCTTATTGTTTTTAGATGTTCGAAAACCCCACGCGGGAAAAAGCTAAGAGTGTAATTCTTTTCTCGCTTTCATTTTATTGATTTGTTGTTGTTTTACGGCTTATCAACCTTTTTGTAGGTTATTTAAAGCCCAGACATAATTTTCGGATTGTAAGCATGACACTTTTTTTTCTTTTTTTCTTTTTTTTTAGATAATAATAGTTTTCAGATACAAGACTTACTAATTTACCCATAGTTGGGGAGGAAAAAGAAGTGTATTCATAAATCCCAAAATTACCTGCGCGTAACTGAATATAACGAACCCAACTGGAATTCGAACTCGGTACTTCGATTTTTCATTTTGAGCCGTT